TGGTTGTTCAGTATCCTTCCAGGAAATATAAGAAATATTGCCGGACAAAATTCGAAGTCTCCAAGAAAATGATGGATAGTTTTCTGCAAGAAGTGCCCAACCAGTCGGGCTGTAGTGAATATGTGGGACTGTGGGCCTCTTCAAGCAACATCCTGTTGAACTACGCTCTCATAAGTCAATCCCCAGTTCGCAAGGGGTCGCGCGTCCCCCAGTTCGCAAGGGATCGCGCGTCCCCCAGTTCGCAAGGGGTCGCGCGTCCCCCAGTTCGCAAGGGGTCGCGCGTCCCCCAGTTCGCAAGGGGTCGCGCGTCCCCCAGTTCGCAAGGGGTCGCGCGTCCCCCAGTTCGCAAGGGGTCGCGCGTCCCCCAGTTCGCAAGGGGTCGCGCGTCCCCCAGTTCGCAAGGGGTCGCGCGTCCCCCAGTTCGCAAGGGGTCGCGCGTCCCCCAGTTCGCAAGGGGTCGCGCGTCCCCCAGTTCGCAAGGGGTCGCGCGTCCCCCAGTTCGCAAGGGGTCGCGCGTCCCCCAGTTCGCAAGGGGTCGCGCGTCCCCCAGTTCGCAAGGGGTCGCGCGTCCCCCCAGTTCGCAAGGGGTCGCGCGTCCCCCCAGTTCGCAAGGGGTCGCGCGTCCCCCCAGTTCGCAAGGGGTCGCGCGTCCCCCCAGTTCGCAAGGGGTCGCGCGTCCCCCAGTTCGCAAGGGGTCGCGCGTCCCCCAGTTCGCAAGGGGTCGCGCGTCCCCCAGTTCGCAAGGGGTCGCGCGTCCCCCAGTTCGCAAGGGGTCAAATTTTGAATAATTAAGAGGATTTAGCCCGCCTCACACTAACACAGGCAGGGAGGGTGTACTATATATTATTTGTGTAGGATACCGGGGACGCCTATGTCATGTGTTCAGGAACACATTGGTAGTATACATGTATCACGTGGTGTGGAGTATTCATGACACATTGGTGGTATATACGTATCACGTGGTGTGGAGTATTCAGGACAAACATTGGTGGTATATATATGTATCACTTAAGAACATATGAACAACGGTAACTTCAGAAGGCCTATTGGCCTATACCAGGCAGCTCCTATTTATAACCACCCAATCCCACTCATACATGTCCAACTCACGCTTGAAACAATGGAGGGACCCCTCCACCACGTTACTGTCCTGTCTTGAGTACAGCTCAGTACTCACTTCCTCCTTTCAGAGCAGGAGAGATTGCTGAAATAGAGGGAATACAGACAACGTATACGACATACATAATCGCGATAAAGCACCTAAATTATTAGGATAGTCTGAAAGCTTTCCAAATGTACTCACTAAAAAGGAGACTAGAGAGATACCAAATAATATACACTTGGAAGATACTGGAGGGCCAGGTCCCAAATCTACACAGTAAAATAACAACGTACTGGAGTGAACGATATGGAAGAAAATGCAGAATAGAACCAGCGAAGAGCAGAGGTGCCATAGGCACAATCAGAGAACACTGTATAAACATCAATCAATCGGTTGTTCAGCATCCTCCCAGCGATTATAAGAAATATTACAGGAGCAACCGTGGATATCTTTAAGAGAAAACTAGATAATTTTCTTCAAGAAGTTCCAGACCAACCGGGCTGTGGTGGGTAAGTGGGCCTGCGGGCCGCTGCAAGCAACAGCCTGTTTGACCAAGCTCTCACACGTCAGGCCTGGCCCCTGACCGAGCTTGGAGAGTAGAACTACTCCCAGAACCCCATCAAGCAGGTATCAAGCAGTGTGACGGGTGGTTGTGAGTAACGGGTGGTTGTGTTTGACGAATGGTTTTTGGCGTTAGAGGTGGCGGGTAATGTGTGTGAATAATAAAATTAGAAATAGGGAAATTAGATGGTGATGGTGATTGGAGAGGTGATGGCATTTTGGTGGAGGGCGGTGCTGGTGGCGATGGTGGTTGGAAAGAAGGGGATTCTGGGTGATGCTGGTGATTGAATGATGAAGATTAAGCCACCCAAGAGGTGGTACGGGCAAGAGTACCACGTAATTGGAATGACTGGTATATGGAATGTGGTGGTGGTGGGCGATGTGGTGAAGGACATGACCAGCGCCGGCTAACACATGCACTCTCGCTCGGCTTACATGTGCTATTGATCCTTCTGCAGCAGAAGGTGAGGTCTCCTTGCTCCTGCTGCCGGTGGTGGTGGTGGTGCATCTGCCACTATTGGTGGTAGTGGTAGCAGTGCATCTGCCACTTGAGCAAACCGGGAGAGTGTTTCCGGAGCTCTACTCCATTGCGTTACCTTGCGTTTATTCCGTGGGGGGGGGGGGTTTAAGGCCCCCGCGGCCTAGTCTCTTGACAAGGCCTCCTGCTTGATGGCCTGGTCAACCAGGCTGTTGAACGCCGTTGCTCGCAGCCTGACCTATGAATCACAAATTGGTTGATTAGGTATTTATTCCCTGGAGGTATTTATCGAGTTCTTTCCTGAACACAGTGTGGGGTCGGCCAGTTATGCCCCTTATGTATGTAATAGAAGCGTGTTGAACAGTCTCGGGCCTCTGATGTTGATAGAGTTCTCTCTCCTACTATTACCTATTACCCTCTTCTTAGTTAAAAAAAAGAGTGAGGGAGGGAAGGAGAGAGGGGGGGGGGGGTGTCATCAAACAGATGATCTTTCAGTCTATGCCTTAGTTATGTAGTGGGAAAAAACGGAACCGAGTCTAGAGTCCTTGAGAGTTTCTACAGATGGGAGCTGGAGAGATGAGTTGAGGCGAGAAGTAAAGGGCAAGAGTGAAGGAGGGTGAAGAAACACCTCGCTCCTCTCATATTGAATACACTATTATATGTACTGAGCCAAATGTTATTGTGACACTTAATCTAGCTTAATGCGGACCGGGATCACCACCTGCTGCTGCTGCTATAATACTACGGAACTGATAGAGCAACCAGTTGCTATGTCTTTAAAAGTGGTTAATGCAGTCGGCTCACAAGCAATAGATTATGGGTATGATTCCCGGGCAGGGTGAGACATTTAGTACCTTGTCTTGCCCCCCGATGTCTCTCTCTTCATCTAGCAGCAAGTAGGTACTGACCAGCTAGTAGTGTTCTAGGTATTATCAAGTGGGAATTGTCAGTAAGTAGCTAGGATGACGATGGAGAGGGAGATGAGCTACCGAAACCCACCACAAGTGACAAGCTATTTGCGAAATCATTCATATTTGCCACCGTACTGTCACTACATTTAGGATCTCTATTTTGATTATCAGCACTTCCACCATATTATTTGAGGTGTTTAGCAGCTCAGTACAGATGAGCGTGTCTTTGATGTAGAGGCTGACCCCACCCTGTAGCCGGTGTTTCCTCTCACATCTGAAAAGATTGTACTCTGAGATCCATATTTCACCATCATGGTAGTCTTTGGTGTGAGTTTCCGTTAGGGCAGCAAACACTGCATTTGCCTCATGTAGGAGGCCATCTATGAGGTGCACTTGGTCACATTTGGGTGCTTTTATACCCTGAATGTTGGCAAATAAAAATGACATTATGTTTTGTGGAAGTGCTGGATGCTTTACTTAAGTGTTAATATCTGAGGCTCTGGTAAGGAGGCCACTGTGTTTGCATCTCTCCAGCATTTGACCGAGTTGGTGGAAGAGTCTGGATATTTTTAGCCATTCTTCTCCTCCTCCGCTTGCTAAAAAAATCATCCTGGTAAGTAGTGTTGTGGCTGCTTTCCTCGAGGAGGTTTGTCGGTCTTATTCGTCTGGTACCTCTTATATGAAAGGCTGGACATTCCATGTTGAAGCATTCTTTCCTATCTAAGGAGTTCTTGCAAAGTTCTGGGTGAAAAAATTCACAGCTTCCGGTGCATTCAAGTTCAAGTATGTTTATTGAGACAAGGAAAAAAATACATCTCAAAGGGATAGAGTAGCTTAGGCTATTTCTACCCCCTGTCCGGTGCATTTTCCTGTACTAATGAGGATTCTGCACTTCCTAGGGTGATCGTACTTACATATTCCATTAATTCTTCCCGATATCCTATGCTTACAGGTACCCCATTTAAAATAACGACAGGTTTCGGGCCCTTGTTTTGTTTGTTTTCCTTTGCCAGAGACCGCACCCTGCTGGGGCGCCGCCCCCAACTCGGCACCCTGCTGGGGCACCGCCCCCAACTCAGCACCCTGCTGGGGCGCCGCCCCCAACTCAGCACCCTGCTGGGGCGCCGCCCCCAACTCAGCACCCTGCTGGGGCACCGCCCCCAACTCAGCACCCTGCTGGGGCACCGCCCCCAACTCAGCACTCTGCTGGGGCACCGCCCCCAACAGCAGCACCGCCCCCAACTCAGCACTGCTGGGTGCCGCCCCACCGCACCCTGCTGGGGCACCGCCCCCAACTCAGCACCCTGCTGGGGCACCGCCCCTCAGCACCCTGCACCGCCCCCACTCAGCACTCTGCTGGGGCACCGCCCCCAACTCAGCACCCTGCTGGGCACCGCCCCCAGGGGGGCACCGTCAGACCAGGGGGTGTTGACCAGGGGGTGTTGACCAGGGGGTGTTGACCAGGGGGTGTTGACCAGGGGGTGTTGACCAGGGGTGTTGACCAGGGGGTGTTGACCAGGGGGTGTTGACCAGGGGGTGTTGACCAGGGGGTGTTGACCAGGGGGTGTTGACCAGGGGGTGTTGACCAGGGGGTGTTGACCAGGGGGTGTTGACAAGGGGGTGTTGACCAATGGGTGTTGACCAGTGGGTGGTGACCAGGGGGTGGTGACCAGGGGGTGGTGACAAGGGGGTGTTGACCAGGGGGTGGGGGGGGAGACCAGCAGGAAGGAGGCTGTATGAACGGGCAGTGTTGCCACCTCGGGTCGCACTCTTAATGTGTTTTGTTCACGTGTTAGCAGTACAGTGCTTGTATTTTCCTACTAGTTATCTTACAGTGGAGGCGACTAGTTTCTGTATCAAGGCACTAGTAACCTGGTACTATAATGGTGTGTTACAGTGGCAGGTACTATGTACATTGGAGGTGTATATGATTGTATAAATGTTTCAGGCGCAGCTACTATGAGCGTGGGCGGGTATGATGGCAAGATTGCTGGCCTATACGACCTGGAGGAGACGCTGGGACGCGGCCACTACGCCGTGGTGAAGCTGGCCAGACACGTCTTCACGGGAGAGAAGGTGGCCGTCAAGGTAACTAACTTACTCTCCACCACTCGCTCCCGGCCCTTGCATGTCTGCGTCGCCCCCACTGGCTTTATTGATACATATACTAAAGATTACCTTGTTGCTACTCTGTTTAAAGCTTAGTGTCGTATTCACTTATCTTCCGAAGAATGTTACCATCATTTGGCTCTTAGCGTAGGTTAGTGACATCGTAGACAGTAGGGCGGTGGGCTCTTAGTAGATTTTTTTTTTAATTCTTTAGAATTAGATCTCTAATGTCCACAATCAACATCTTGCAGGAGCTAGAAGTAGGGTTGAAAGCGTAGAATAAAGTAAAGAGTAGAGTCGCCATATGGTCAGTTCAACATCAAGGATCCACGACTCTTCGGCTTCCTGCCGGGAAATATAAGACAAGTGTCTCCCAGAGGGTAACTAATGGAGTTCTTTGTCGGTGGCCCTTGATCAATGGCATCGTGATAGATACGTGAGTGTGTGGGCCGCAAGTAGGATGATAGATACTACTTTTTCGACAGGTAACAAAATGGGGTGGCCTTTGGTATGGTCTTGGATTTGCCCTTGGGTTGTGCCCTTGGGTTGTACCCTTGGGTTGTACTCTTGGGTATGGCCTTGGATGTTCCCGTGGGTGTGCCCTTGGGTTGTACCCTTGGGTTGTACCCTTGGGTTGTACTCTTGGGTATGGCCTTGGATATTCCCGTGGGTGTACCTTTGGTGTGTCCCTGGGTGCCCTTGGTTGTACCATGGGGAGTGCCCTTGGGTGTGTCCTGGGGGGAGCCTTTCGGTTTGCCCTTTGAGTGTACAATTGGATATGCCCTTGAGTGTACCCTAGGGGTGCCCTTAGCTTGCTTCCTCTTTCGCCTCCTCCCCCCCCCCCCCCACCCCTCGGTTCACCTTTCCTCCCTGTGCCTCCTTGTGTATTGGAATGCACTGAGCAGGAGATCTTATCGTGTATTACTTGCTGTGTGTTGTGTGAGTATCCTCAGAAGTTAGTGCATGAGGTAGGCCGAAGCCAAGTGTGCTTCCATTACCTATCGAGTATAACACCTCCCTGCGACGTGTTTCCCTGTCTTTGGTGCAGGTAATTGACAAGATGAAGCTGGACGAGGTGTCGCGGGCGCACCTGTTCCAGGAGGTTCGCTGCATGAAGCTGGTGCAGCACCCCAACGTCGTGCGGCTGTACGAAGTGATCGACACGCAGACGAAGCTCTACCTCATCCTGGAGTGGGCTGATGGAGGCGACATGTACGACTACATCATGAAGTGAGTCTACTACCTTTCACCTCATCATTCACACAGGCTTCAGACGAGCGTTTTGGATTAATTGAACTTTAAATAGTAGTATAAATTGCCATCCACACTTCAATGGGAATAAACATTCCAATCACCTGGACTGTATGGGGTCCGAGGCTCGAGACCCATACAGTCCAGGTGAATGGAATTTAAATATGAGTCTTTGTGGGTTAGGTTAATGTAAGGGTTTGAGTAATGATATTGCTCAAGTGGATGTTCATTAGTGGTTACTGATAAGTTTGTGTGTTTACATTAGATAGCACGTAGTAAAGCTTGAGCACACTCCTGGCAGGCACGAGAAAGGT